GAAGGCTATTAGGAATTTACCATACTGAGGTCATACGTGATGTCTCCTTGAAACTAAAAGGTCACGTTAGTGTGTGGTCAGTCCTGCATAACCGTTGCGAGACCATAAATTTACGCATTAATATATTCATTGTCTAGATGTCTTCGACTGTCGATGTTTACGTAGTTTGGGGCGGGTTGAATAGAACGAGCATGTAAGCAACTCTGAGGTAAGCCGTCGAGTATTTGTTAATGATTCGGTGGAAAATTGGTTATCGTACAGAATTCAAATTAGTAAGCTTCGCCGGTTAGGACACGTATGATATATGCCTGGCCCCGTGCATCATTCGCAGTTGCGGTTACTGTATGGAGGAAATAAAGTGGAGGATAACAGAAGACGTCGAATCGAGGCGTGAAGAAATGCACAGCGTGATTACGTCCAGTGGTGTCCGCGCCTTCGAGTTTGGGGTTCAAAAGGCTCTGCAAGTGGTTTGATGGGGACACTGAAGGACATCGCAGCTAACCGACAGCAGTGGCATTATTGTTGTCATTTCTTTGCCTCCCTCCAATTAGGCCCAATCCCTCTCCATCTTGTGCTTTCTCACTTACGTTGTGTACATTGTGAGCATGGCAGCGATCAGGAAAGTTCGTTTCACTGTATCTCGATGTACGTTGATGATGCTGATGGTGGTGGTGGTGACGATGATGATGATGATGTCTNACTGGCCAAGCCTTTAGAAGATTACAATAGTTACGAATCCAAAAATCTGATTGAGGCACAAGTTGAATTCGCACAATCGGATGACTGGCAGAAGTCTGAGATTTGGTGTGTGGATGGAATAAACTGATCTATGTTCAGACGAACAACCCGCAGTTTTATCCCGGAAAAATAAAACAAACCCTTCTACGCATTTCGTCGAAATTCATAGGAATCGTTTAAAAAAATCCAGGGATTTCAAAGAATCGCGGAAAAACAAAGAAAATAATCAGCTTTTAGTACTTGTCCTTGTCGTTGTAGTAATAACAGTGTCTTAAACCTGGCATCTTAATGAGGAGAGAAAGCTACTGACCAGTAAGAACACAGCCGTTTACGAAGGAGTTGAGCTACCAAGAACTACGGGGAGGTTATCTCGTCTCTCTTAACACTGAACCCCCACAGCTGAATTCCCCTCCGACTCTGTCTAAGATCTGATTGGACAATGCTCTGCGATTTGCGTAACTTTCAATTCCCCCACCTAATCTGAAAAGAGATTGTTTGATCACTGGTTAATCATTTTTTTGATACTCCTTTTGTCCATCCGTGTGATGCGGCTTCCCAGCTGTGCACTCAAAGAACCCACTAACCATGCTGACGACTCGAGGCACTCAGCAATTTGTCAGTTTTCGCTCGTGCTATTTGTGCAAGCGTCACGACCCTTGTAGCAGCTGTTCCATCCAACCGATCTCTGAAATGACCTAACCAGTTTGTCGGACCGGCATGGGAGAATAAATATGAACCTTGCGCTTTTCAGTCATCGTCCGGACTCACACTTGTTTATTTGCCGAGATGACGTTATGCCAATGCTAAAGTTACAGAACGAACCCCGCTAGCTGGTTTCACAAAATTCAACCGATCACAGTAAGTAGTCTGTTGTCAAACACGTGTTAGAAAACAGGGAACGAAATCTCTGGCCTTCGCTTGATAATATCCTCCCAAAACCTACCCCTTTTGCCTATGCAAACCTTTCACATATATTGCTATGAGCATCATTTCCATAAGGAGTTTGCTGTGTGGGTCTTTACGTAATCTCTGCGAGGAAGCGACAAAATGGTGGATATGTCCAGTCCTTTTGGCGCCGTCCCAACTAATACCGATTGCGTTCTCTTTGTATAATGCGATTTCAAATCAGGTCGCATCGGATCGCACATTTTCGTTCACTTCAGCGATTTATTAATCTTTTGTATTATGCTCGCCTTGTAAATCCATTCAGCAGCATTACAGTTAATCTTATCAACGTACGCTCTATTCACTAGTGGCGACACGGTGAACCCATTCACTCCAACGATTATTGAAATTCATAAGTTTCCATTTGTCATCAATATTTAATTGAGTTTTATTGAATCCAAACAAATTATGACTAATATTGCCGATACTTTTGACCTCCCTTGGTACATATTTACCTGAATTTCAATCATATAAGATGTAACTAAATGTTCTTGACGTCATCTCTGTTGATCCATTTATTCGATTCTCACTCAGTAAACTGACCAAAGTGACTCAATGGTTGGGAAGTACAGTATCAAATCTGAAGACCAAAACTAGCGCTTTAGTACCATAGGTTTCCTAACCCGTTCTCTAACACGTGTCCGAAAAACACTCAGGATCGACCGGGTCACTTCATCGATTGGTCGGATGGAACAAATGTTACGAACCGGTGATCAAACAATCTCGTTTCAGATTAGGTGGGTGAACTGAAAGTTGCGCAAATCGCGGAGCATTGTCCAATCAGATCTCAGACTGGGTTAGAGGGAAATTCAACTGTGGTGATCAGGGGGGGGGG